ACAACGAATAAACCCAACAGCCACTAACAGCTGCTTCCTAGACTGGGGGAGGAGCATGAAAATACTTGAAAAAAAAGAAAATAAAATCATTCATCTTTAAAGCTAAAACATCTGAAACAGCCTCCGTGTTCTTGCTGACTTGGGAATTTACCAAGAACAAAGTTGCACAATACAGAGCAGTCAACTACATGTGTAATCAGTGTCAAGACTCACCAGAAAGCCACATTGTGAAGAGGTGATTTATGAGTGGAGTTGCTGCATTTTGCAGCTTTTTTCCCCCCCTCAATTGCTTTGAAATGTGCTATTGTCAATTAATGACAATTTTACTCAAATAAATTCTTATATATTTGTTTGTACCTCCTAATTATTTTATTTCTAGCAATGTGACTAGCACTCTGAAATTTTTTTTCTTCTAAACAGCATCTATTGCTGAAAATAAGGGAGCTTCACATGCAAGTTCCTTAGAAGTGTTGGTGTCTCACATAACATGCTTTGAGCTTGGTCTTTCAACATGTTAAGCACCTGCAGTTTTTAGGGATTCCAAGCAAGAAACTGATTCCAAGCCTGGATTCTGCTGCTTATGTAGGGACAGACAGCTGTTGGATGGCAGAGGCTTTTTTTTCTCCACATAAGGAATGCAGAATACTTTACACTTTGGGCTGGAATGGGTTTAGAGTTGCAGAAGAGAGTCCTGGACAGTACCAGTCACTTCACTGTAATTCAGGAAAATTACCAGATGAGGATAAGGTATTTTTCTGAAAGTTTTCATTGCCCACATCTCTAGGCCCTAAGTAAAATTTGCTTCTTATACATATAAAGTTAAACCTGCAGAGTCTGGTTTTTTTATTATTTTGTACATTATTTTTTTAATTTTACACAGGACTCATTTCACCTTCCAAAGAGGAAGAGGCTTGTTTCCATTTTTAGTCTGTGATTCTTTGAAGTATTCCTGTTCCACAGAACAGGGATCTGGAGAGAATTGGACAAAAAAAAAATTAATTCCTTATTTTAGGTTTGGTTGCAGTAATAAAGAAGTTAATGATATCACATCTGGTTTTGTCCAGACATACTCTAAAGCAGTACTGGAAACAGCACCATTTGCTTATAGCTTTTTCTTTCATCCCAAACAGAAAGAACCTCATCCAGCCTAAATAAGTGTTCTTGAACACCCCCACAGCCAGACTGACAAGTCAGCCAATTAGCCACCACGGTGCTGATGTTACTTACCCACAGCTATAATTAAGAGCTGCTTACAGTTTCACCACAGCAGATAGAGAATATTTAGCCAGACCTTCAAAACATTTTCTTTGGTGTTTGCCAGAACAAAGAGACATCACACAAAAAAATACCAGAAAACTTCATTCCACAAGCACCATCTGAATGCTGACACATCTGGAACAGCTGGGGCACAAGTTGTGCGTGTCAAGTTGAGAAAGCAGCTGCTTTTAGCCTTCACTTTGGCCAAGGCTTTGCTTGCAGCCACCAGGATATTCTGTTTGATTTTGTAGCAGCTTCTTCAGTGTTCCCAGATGGACAAGCTAAAGAGCTCCTTGGATATAACAGGAGGCATATAGAATGTTCCTTAGAAGCAATGAGGAGCAGATGTTGCTTTCTTATCTCCATGTGCATCCTTAAAAGAGTTAAATTAAGTTGCTTCAGACAGATTACTAATGCCAGGTATAGACAAATTGTTTATCAGCCATTTAAATACCAACTTTCTGAGAGAGGGAAGATAACAGTTTAACTGAGGATTCCAACTGAAATAAGATGAAACCATCCTGGAATAACTTCAGCAAATAATTAAAGCAAAACCAGGATCACAGGGGCAAAACTGTACTGTGCAGGAAAGACATGATGACTCACTTCAGAGATCTGAGGGAGTACTAATTATGGTTTATTAGAAAAGGGAAAAAAAATTCCACCACCTTATCATTACAATATAATGAAAAGTTTGAGGTGAGAGTTATCCACCAGCACCCCTGATTAAAGCTCTTCTATTCTGCTGCTTTACTCAACCAGGATACAACTTAAACCACCAGACCAAGTACTAAAGGATCTAATAAATCTATTACTAACAGTGCAATTCATTAATGTTTCTCATGTACTTACTCCTGCAACATCCAGTGGATCCAATAGGGTAGATAATAATTCTGTCACACACTGTCCAATTCAAGTGAGTTAGATAGAAATGTTTCTTTTTTCTTCCTGACTTCCTGAAAATAGACCCTTATTGGATTCATTTTATGACAGATATATTTCTGAGGAAATCTGAACTGAACACTACTTTTTTCCCCCCTCAGTAACAATGTAAACAAGGTTTGGGTTTCAGCTGCCTGGTGAGATCTTTCTCTTTGAGTCAGTTCACAAGATACAAAAACTGCCAAGACACCAACTATAACTTTTTGAGTAATGTCACTTTATTAAGGGACTTAAAAGAATCACATTCTCTAGTAGCCTTGGAACAATGCAAATGGGGAACAAAAGACAAAAAATAGATGTAATTGGTTCTGAAAAGCATGAACATCTGTAGAGAATGTGCTGCATTATTCCTAAGGACTCTTGCTTTCAAAATAAAGCACGTTCCATATATACAAGTGTCAGTGCAATAGCCAATAAAGCAATCAGAAATATAAAAATATCCTAGATACAAACTTAAAATAGATGTTTGAAGGCTGAGCATATCAGCATTCTGATACTTCTATCTCAGGAGTATGATCACTGGATGAGTTACTCTGATGAGGTAAGAAACAGGAGATGCTCTGTGCTAACACAAAGCCATACTTTTTTTTTTCTTTTCTGTAAGACAAAAAAATAGAGCACCCAATGAAGCTGCAAGTGCCCACAGGAAGTGAAATTAGAGTCTCTGAGTATTACTACATTCCTGCAGCATTTACCTTCTGTCTTTGCCAACATTTACAGCAGCAAAACTTGCCAATTCTCCCACCCTTCCCCAGCTCCAGTATAAACTGCATGTTCTCTGCAGATACACCGAACTGAGAAATGCTTTAAACACAGACAACATCTATAAATGTCCAAAAATCACTTAGTCATTCTTTCCTTTATTAGCTGCAATTATTTTCTTGGCAGGGAGGACAGGGATTGCAAAACTTGACAGCAAACAACTCTCTCTCGAAGGGTTAGGGAGAGAACAGGGTGTGTCCTATTTGCTTTGCCTCAGGTGTTCCAGTGATGCCACTGAACTCAAACCTCAACTGGCTGAGCAATGAAAATCACATTCCTCCTCTTTGCTCTCTGTTTTGGATGGAAGAATGCACGAATCTGGGGCTACTGTTCCAAAAAAAGGCCATTTGGTCAAGCTTTCAGCAGGTTGCTCTCTGCCTACATCAGGACTCATCTCCTTTCCTTCAGCCATCCTCTGCCACTGTGACCCTCCCAGGGACGCTGCTAAATTCTGATTCCTGTTTTGTCACTTTCCAAAGAAAATGGCAAAACAACAGGTAACGCAACAGCTTACTCTGCTTCTTTGTGGCACATAGCCCCAGGAAGAACTGGCAGCAGAGCTGGGAGCGGCAGAAGAGTACAACAAACACAAAGCTCCTACTTGGTGATGGGGGCAATGGTAAAGTTATTTCCAAATGAGTCTCAGGCATTCCTCTGTGGAAAAGCACAATGAATTATATGGTCTCTAGAACAGCAATATTAACTTGACCAGGACAGGATAAAAAAAGCACAACAGGAGCTGGCAGTCATCTGCTTGTGAAACTTGCCTTACCACTTATGGCACACACATGCACTGAAGCACACAGCAGTTGCCTGAACCTGTAAACGATTTCTTAGCTTTACATCCTACATTCAAAAGCTTTCCCTTCAATCTTTTCATTTTTCATCATTCTTCTCTAAACCTCTTTTGTCTCAGGCAAATTCAGACAGCTGTGCGAGATGGAAAAGCCAAGCTAGTAACATCTGTAGTGTGACAACACTTGACAAATTGTTTCAGCTTTTCTTTCAGTTTCTGGAAGATGCTTTGCAGATGCCAAAGCCTCAAGGAATCATCACACTTCTCTCCTTAACCCCACTGAACTTGGCAGTCAACGTTTGCAAATATTGAATGACTCCTCACCACACCCCACGAAGGCTGTTACCTCTCGTAAACAGGCACAGAATGACTAAGTGATTATTCCAACAGGACAGTACAAGAGTGGGAGAGTCAGGAGCTGAACCTGTATTTCTTGCATCTCAGTCTCAGGTTGCCTCTTTTGTTCTGTGTTGCAGCCTTTTTCCTGTGGAGGAAGACTGGGATCTTTTAAGAGTCTGTCACTGCTACTCTGCTTGACAGGTGACGTTGCCAGTGAGCTAAGAACTGTTGCATTCCCCACATCAAAAGGTGGAACACAGTGTGACATCTGTTGGCTGGAAGAAATACTAACCATACAAGTCCTTAAGAACATCAACATTTATTTAATATGATATAAAAGAAATGGGATATGAACATTCTTATTTGAACAATAATAAGTGGCTTCTTATACTTACATCATATGTGCTCATTGTATAATATATACACAATGAACATAATTACATTTGTACACAAACTAAGTACTGGATTGAAAACCTGCTTATTGCTGTACACACCCTAACCCCAAGAAGGAAAAGCCCAGTACCTCAAAATACCTACACTCCATTTTATTCAAGAAAAAGTAACCACTAACATTAATGTCTATGTTGACAGAAGTGTGGCAGTAACTGCTGACATTGCAACCTGACCAAGAAATAATTACAGCAGAAACAGGACATACTTTACTAAGCAATAATAAAAATGGCACATTTTAAATATATCTATATGCATATATATATAAAAATTTTACAAATAAAATGTTAAACCAATCAACCGTAGTGTTTAAAAAGTGTAAAACAAGGTTTAGTGGTGATATGTCAAATTAACCGAGTTATGCAGCTAAAAGAAGCGAAAGAAAGTAAACTTATATGATCCATAATTAAAAGAACATTAAATTCTGGAGAACAGCAAATAAAGTTCTGACTGCAGGCTGCACATTAAGAAGAGCCTTGATTTTATGTGCACAGAAATCATAGCAGCAAGCTGGTATCAGGAGAACAATCTGAAGGTTGTTGAGTGTACATGTGGGCCATTTAAAGCTCTCTTGGAATAAACATTTTCCAGGAAGTGATAAAACGATGCTCTGTGGCCAAAAGCATCAGAACTATGAATTTCATAGATTTAAAATATACTGTACAATATCTTCTCATATTTTCATAGGTCAGGTCCATACATCTCAGGCATGAATTGTTTCAACAGAAGCCATTAGTGCTGAAAGACAGAGAGAGATTAAGTTACTCTATTTTAGAAACAAAACATTGCATAGAGCAACTCATGGGATTAAACACAGCAAGGAATTTCTGACCTCATCCTAGCAGTGTAGGTGTAGAACATAATAAAGTATCTTAGAAATCAGTTGTTTCCAAAATCAGTTTTCCTGATGTCAAGACACTTAGACTACAAGAAGCAAAAATGAAGTTTTTTCAAATGTACACAACTTGGAACTACTCTGAGCTGGTGTGACCTCACCTCGAGTCCTGGGGACAGCTTTGGGCACCACAATATAAGAAAGATATTAAGCTATTAGAGTGTCCAAAGGAGGCTACAGAGATGGTGAAGGGCCTTGAGGGGAAAGCTACATGAGGAGTGTCTGAGGTCACTTGGTCTGTTCAGCCTGGAGAAGAGGAGACTGAGGACAGACCTCATGACTCTATACAACTTCCTCACGAGGGGCAGTGGAGGGGCAGCAGTGACCTCTTCTCTCCGGTGACCAGTGACAGGACCCAAGGGAATGGCCTGAAGTTGTGTCAGGGGAGGTTTAGGTTGAGTTGAAGGAAAAGATTCTTCCCCAGAGGGTGTTTGGGCACTGGAACAGCTCCTCTGGGCAGTGGTCACAGCCCCAAGTCTGAAAGAGCTCCAGGACCACACTCTGAGGCAAATGATGGGATTGTTGGGGTGTCCTGTGGAGGAGTTGGACTCGATGCCTTGTGGGTCCCTTCCAGCTCAGGATATTCTGTGATTCTGTGAATGAAAGTCTGTTTATTCTGAGAGTTTTATCCTGTTATACATGGCCATCTCCAAATGTCCTTCATATAAACCCAGTAACACTAGCAAAGATCCTTAACTGCTCTGAGCAGTGACAGGCACTGTTTGAAGAGGGATGCAGAACTACTCAGCTGCTACATCCTAATGCCATGGTATTTGTGAGGTGTTCTGAGGTTCACTGCTCCACCCAGAGCTCTCTGTGTTTTGGTAATTGCTGCTTGGACTTCTATAAATAGCTTGTAACAGTTCATTAGTAAAAACCTTTCTGAGCTTTGAATCCTGGTGCTGTAAAAAATGTCATTATCCCTCCACTCCTCAGTGAAAATGTAATGCTTCAAATCTAACAGTGGTAGTGGTACACATACAGATCTGTCTCTGCAAAACGAGGGCTGTGACAGAGAAGTAGCCTTTGTGTTAATGGGTTTCTCCTTGGTCCTACAGTATCCTGTGCTGCCAATTTCCTATGCCAAATTCCCCTGGTACTGTGCCAAGAGTATCATTTTACTAATTGACTGTAAAAGCCAAATATAGGTTTTACCTCTTCATTCTCTGAAATCTGTGCTACATTCTCCAGATGCTGCCTGAAAAATCTGGTTGCATATGAGCAGGGCTGATCCCAGAGCTATGAAGTTCCTCTTAGAACTTACTAGACTAGGACTACTGAGAGACACCAAGTTCCTGCCCATTAAAAGAGGCAAAGCACTGGAACATTGGCACAGCAACCCCAGAAGGTGAGGGGCAGGAAACACTGCAGGCAAGCTCTGTGCTTCATACATCTCCTGGATATGCTAAGCCCAGGCCATGGCATGAATTTGTTATGGAGCTCCTAGGAAACCATCAACAGAGGCATCTCATGCAGCAATGTGCAATGTCTAAGCATATAGCTGAAAGCTTTGCCCAACTCAATCCAAGCACTGAACAGCTCAAACGGATGTATTTGAAATTCTGGAATCCTTTCTCCATCAGGGTGAGGCTTGTGTAAGCAGAGCATTAGTTTAACAAGTGCCATCCCAGATATGAACTGTTCTGTCACAAGCAATTAAAGCCTCTGTAGAACTGTCCTTCACACAGCAATGCCACAGCTACAGCATTAGCTGTGGGGTGCCAAGGGTGGGCAGGAAGTGACAAGGCACATCACTAAATGAGCATTTGCTTTTGCTTGTCTCATCTTTAGCATAAATCCTTAAGAAAACCAATTTGCTGATCTGATCATTGGAGCTGATGACAAGAGCTGAAAGCAACTTCATGCACTGGGTGATAAATTTCTGGTTGTTCCCCTTTCAAGACAGCAGTGCTGTGGCTACAGAGAATCTAGCAGTGCAGTTTCAGTTTCACTACTGACCCAAAACTGAGCTGCTGGGGGAATGTTTGGCCTATTTAAAAAGGAGATGCATAAATGTGTGTCTATTTATAGAGCAAAACGGAAAAGTGTTGACACAAATCAGTACTTCCAGGAAAAAAAAAAGTCTCACTTATCTTTTTAAAATAGTCCTGTAATAAAACTTGTCAATAAAGTACAAAAGTTCAAGCTAAATTTAATCATGACAGACAATGCCCATCAGAAGGCTCAACAATGTCAGGACTGAGTGTAAGGAGTATTTTCCAGACTCTCAAAAGGAAAACGGATTAAAATAAATTTTTTTGCTTGAAGAAAATAGTTTCCTGCTCTTAGTCCTATAAGAAAGGTGTCTGTGATGGCTAATAAGCCTAATTTTGCTAAGATGAAAGCTTGGAGATTGGGGCAGTAAATAAAAAAAAAGCATTTTCAGATCACCTCATGCCAAATGTCTGAAAATGTCTCAATTTCAAAATTCTCTTGATTTTAAAGCTTTCTTAGGTTACATTAGCTATGGCATTTAACACTGCCTTGGAAACAAAGCTCATTCTTTTAGTAGAAAGCTTATTTAAGCAGGTACTTCTTGACAACACAGAAATGTGGATTAATTTAAAGCTGGCAAAGTGCTGAAGCACTCCCACTGCTATGCTGCTAATTTCTTTAGACACTTGTATAAACAAAGATGCTTAGCTGTATTTCCATTGCCATTCACGAATAACAGTACAGGGAGGGACATGTAAATCTAACCTAACTCCTGCTTTCTAAGCTGATTCCTAGAAGCAATCACCTTCTGTGACAAGGCAAGAGCAGCTGTGCAGGGCTTTCTCTGTAGACAGGAAATAAAAAGAAGAAGTTTTGTACTTGTTATGTTTCTTCCACCCTCATTTTTTCCCTTCCCCTTGTCAGGCCTCAGTTATCTATGCCTTAAGCTGTAAACTCTTCAGGCCATTAGACCATTCCCTCCTACACATCACAGAGTCTGAGCTCCAGTCACCCATTACCATGACTAAAGCATCAAGATTCATTTGCACCTTTAGTGATGCTCATTCCTTAACTGAGTATCTGGTTTGTAACAGCTTAGCTATCTCATGTCATTCAAAGGGTTGTTACCTTGCCAGTTGTGGAAAACGAGCTTGATAAGCCAATTAAGCCCTTTCTCTTTGTCCTTGGATAGGGAATACACTCCTTGCAAGCAAATCAATACATGAATTGGTTTTGTTTTCTGGTTAGTTTATATTCAGTGTTGCAGGTAACTTTGTCTTGCTGAGAATTGTCTACAGATGTTTCTCAGAAAAATAACCAGAATACATATACTTAGGAAAATGTTAGGAACAAGAGGAGTGGGGAAATAAATGACTTACTTCTCTGTAACTATACACACATGAAATGTGATCCTTCTGTGAGCTGTGTCTGTGTGGATGGAGCTGGTGACAGTGATGATTCTGGTGAAGAAGGCAAACTTTTCACTGCAAGGCAGACAGCAAAACAAATAAGAATACAAGTTATAGAATGCAGGAGTTCAAGCTCTAATATCAGCTTGAAACCTCTTCATTTCAAGCCATAATAAGCATAAGCAGAAACAAATGGAAGTTACACAAGTAAAGACTTCAAATCTGATCAGCACAATAAGCACAACTTCAGGGGAGAGCACAGCTTTCTCAAGCAAGATAATGATCTTACTTAGGCCTGTAACTAGTCAAACACCAAAGGAATAAACAGCAAACACTGCAATGCTGTTGTGTTACTTATATTGCAAAGAGAGAGGAGGGGAAAAAATAAAATTTAAGTATTTGGGATACTCCTAGACCTACCTTTATAGCCCAGCTCAGATTAACTAAGCTTTTTTATTCTGCTGAGCACCACAAAATGTCCATAACAAGTTCTGGTTTTGATTATCAAGTCACAGAAAGGACTGCTGACTGCACTACAAAGATCACCTTTTAGATCCATAAATTGAACCATTTGGCTTACTTAACCATTCCCATCAGCAAATATCCTAATAATAACATCTTGAATTCTATCTTCTTCCCCCCTCCTCCCATACTCAATCCCCTCTTTTTTTTTTTTTGCCTCTCTGCATACAGTTTTGCTTTATTCTCTTCTTGCAAAGTAGTACATCCCCAGTCATTGTACCAGTCAGGTAGTGTTTCCTTTTTTTTCATCTTTTCTTACTCCTCAACCATAACCAAACTGGCATCTTTCACTTGCTAGTTCAAATTCCAACAGATATATTGGAAACTCGCAAGGATTTCTCAATCTTGGGCATATCTGAGGCCACTCAGTAGCAAGGAGTAATGGCAGAAAAATCTATACATATCCAGGATTGAGATGCTGTTCCACAAGATGAATAGGGAAGGATTTGCTCCAACCAACAACTCCATGTCTGGCAATAGTTATTTAATTCCTTGAATTAAATGCAACCATAAAATCTATATTAAAACCTCAGAAAAAACTATTTTTCTCTACCTTATTAAACTACACACCTGACATGCAGACCAGCTCAGCATTTCAAGGGTTTCAGGGCATCAAAAGCCATAATCAAAACAAAATCAAGTTTTACATATGTACTGTGTAAAAGTTGTGCTTCAAACTCTTTTCCATACCTGCTGTTGCCTGATTGCTTTTTGAAGACTGTGCTGCTAATTCAAATGAAGACATAATCCCTTCTTGTTCTTGAACACTAACTGCTTCACTTTCTTCTGAGCTGGTTTTGGGTTTGTGGTTTGGGACTGTGGTCACACTCTGCAAGCTGGTTAAAAAAAGCACAGTGTTTAGAACTTGCTCTGACTTAATTTCAGGTGTTAACCACTAAGTAGAGGAGTTATAATTTAATTTTCTTCTGCTAATAGAAAAAAAAAAAGTTGCAACTTGCAAGTCTGTGTAGTATAAATTAAGCCCATATTTTGAAACCCTTCTACTTTGTGTAGACTTAAGGATTTAATTCCTTTCCTTTCCATACTCAGTTTCCAACTGCTGAAGGGTTCTGTGAGAAAGTTATGACCTAATGTAAGAACTCGCTTAGGACTTGCAGTGCAACTCAGACTTAAGCTATGAATCCTTAGAGAAAAATATCCAGGATATAATATCCCTCTAATTCTGCAATGCTTCAAAATAGGGAAACAAAAATTAAAGCAGGAGATACAGAATGAGTTGTTTGGTTTGCTGCTATCAGCAGCAAAGAGCTATGGAAGCCCTGGATGAAATGCTAATAATAAACTGACACAAAGCTCAAACTGACATTATGAAATAAATTTGGTAGGCCAAAACAAGAGTTGTGAATATACTCTGTTTATAACTGGGGCAACACCTGAAAATAAACATTGCTTCACCCCCCAACTCATCACCTCTTACTGAACCCCTGCAGTGCTTAAGTTTCTCACTAAATTTCTATGTAAACCACTCAAAAACATACAAATATACCTTTTCAGTTTTTATGGCAATTGTTGGTCCCTTCAGCTAATAAATACAATGTGCAAGTTTAAAATAGCCTCTGAACATGTTGTTTTGTTTTTACCTTAGATCACCATCATGTGTTTCTTCCAATTTATTTTTCTTTTCTGCTTTCTCTTCATTACTCACTTCTTTTGAGTCAGAATCAACATATGTATCTGATAAAGGCTCATCAGTTTTTGACAGCTATAAAAAAAATGGAAATCATGAAACAAAAAGCTGTAACACAAACTAAGTGGCAGATAAGAAATACAGTACCAGGAAGCAGTTTTATTAACAGACAAATTTGGCCATCATGTATACTTAGTAACTCAGAATTACAGAACTTCAGAAATTTTTATCAATACCATTCAGGTTAATAGAGTTATCCTGAAACTTATACCAGAGCCAGTGGGCAGAGCTTGACTTAATAACTTCCAGAACTTCTCTGAAGCCTTGGATTGCAGCCTGCTTGTTTTTAATATGCTCTCCCTCTCTTCACAATGCCCACAGAGATCCCAGATACTGCAATATGTTGCTGATAAGGCTGAATGCTGCTCTTAAAGGTCTGATTAGATAGAACCACTTTAAGTGTATCACATAATTTCCCTTTAAAAGATTTGCATATTTACCAAAGCAACAGACTCTCAGTAAAAAGTGGTTTGAAAGAATAACAAGTTATTCAGTAGTTAACAAGTTATAACATTAGTTAATTATTTGATTTTACACCATTCTCCATCAGATATATGTTTAAAAGAACTAAATATAAAGAAGGAAAATGAAAGGAAAAATGAGTGAGGAAAAGGAAAGGCACAGGATTATTAACTGAGGAACATGGATACAGAAGAAGGAAAAAACCCTACATAATATTTTTAGAAGTTATCAAACTGTAAGCAGGATGTGATTATGTAGAAACAACTCCAATAATCTATTTTTCACAGTCTGGTTTTGCTGAATGTTTGGGGCACTTTAGTACCAGGAACACCAATGTAATTCACTGCCAAGTGAATTTGAAACTATTTCAAGACAGAAATCAAACTAGTGACCAAATAAATACCACACACTGCAGCTACTGCCTATTCCTGTGTGCAGTTTGTTGTGTCAGCTTTATTCTGCTTTCTGTAAACTATTTGATGCACTACAGCCAACCAAAGAAAAACTGAGGTAGATTAAATGACTGTCAAAAACTACACTGGGATAGCCTAAGCAATGAATGTATCAACCACTATTATTTAAAGACCATACACAAGAAAATTCAATGTCTCAGCTATAGACAGAGCTGATAAAATGTTGTGATTCTCTACAGAGTATTGTATATCCAAACAGAAGTATTTATCTTCCAAGCAAGAAGAACTGACTCAATTTCCCATACTCTGCTGTCTGGCTCAAAATATTTCTCTCCATCAAGACAGGCTGAGGAACAGTTCAAGAAGGAATAGTTCAGTACCTCTTCAGTGAAACCTGAATTATGTTCTTGTTCTCCATCATGTTTTAGTTGTGCTATTTCTTCTCCAGGACTTCCATTATTTTGTTTCAAGTTATTTTCTCTACTGGTGCTCTCTAATTCCTTCATGTTACTAGATAAAGGCTCATCCTTTTTTCGGTTCTGTGGAGCAAAATTAGTGTATTGTTACAAAAGTCATCACATCTCAGGTCTGAGCCTTGTGCTGAGCTCTGACTGGGATAAAATAAACACTTAAAATGCTTAAGTACACCACATTGCATTGAGGAAAATGGAAATTGTTAAGGACTTGGAATTTTTGCACTTTTGTACCTTTCAAAACAATTCAGCCTAACACTTCTTTGTCTGTAAGATTATTGTCCTTTCTGCACTCCCTTCAGCACTTCAACATCACCTTTCCCTTCTGAAATTTCATTAACATTTAGCTCAGTCACACACAAGCTTAGTAGCATTCTTACTTGTATCCCTAAGCACTGTTCTTTTTAGAAAATAGCTCTTCCTGGTTAAAAAGAAAGGTGGATAAAAATCTGCTTTCAGCACAAAATTCACAGTGCACCTGCCTGCACGTTCTCCTATTATCTTGGGTATCCTCCAAGCCTGTGCTGAGAACTGATTTAATAGAGGACAACACAGCATCTGATAATGGCAGAGGATATTAGCTATCCCTTAAAAATAATCCATTGCACAGAGAATAAGCTGATATAAAAATCTGAGGGAAGATGGTAGAGGTGACTTCAGATTGTGAACTGTGAACATGATGTTGGCAGAGCAGTAAGAACCCAAGTGAGGTTCAGCTAAGTTACCAAAGAACAAGGGCTGAGAAAAACAAGAGCCATGAAAGCAGCAAATCTTGAGGCTGAATTCCTGTGATTTAACACATGCACTCTATTAAGGGGAAATTCCATGTAAGTCAGTTCATAAATCAATCTCTTCACTTTCCTAACTCAAGTGTTCACCCATATCATACGCTTGTCCCAGCAACAATCGGGAAGCAACTTCCTTTTGTATTCTGGTAATCACTTCAAAATTACACAGCAGGTCCTTTATAAAACCCATCTTTTGCCTCCAGTTCTTAAATAACCAAACCCCAGATGAAAAGACTTCCAGCAGTTAATGCAATGGCACCACTTCTCTAAAAATCAATAGACATAGAAACTCTGCTTTTAAAAATAAAAGCTATTACTACAGCCTAATACCTCATCTTGGGGCTTTTTGCCAAAGAGCATTCATATTTCTGTCTCTATAATAGTAATATATATACACATACATTCACATATAGATGGAATAACTATAT